TATATTAGTGAATTTCCTAACCTAGAAAATCACCAATATAAATTTTTTATATTAGGGAGATAAAATAGGCATATTTTATCTCCTCTTCTGATAAATTATATTATAGTATAAAATTTTTTATAAATATTTACTAATAACAGCTACGTGCTGTTTAACTTATAAATTTATATCCAACGATGCTCAACTTCAAAAGACTTATTAAATACTAAAAAGAATTACCCAATCTGTCAAAGAAAAATTAGATGTTGAGCAAAATCAGATGAATTCATCAAATTATCTTGTCATTCATCAGCATTACTTTTAATAAAAAGAATACATATTTGTAATTATCACATGTAATTCAATCTCATGATCATGGATTTATAACCAACTTCGTTTTTCTTAACGCATCCGCTATTTAAATCAATAATGGAATCCAACTCAATATTCCTCAAATACATTTCTGTTATTTTTATATTTGAGTGTTTTACAAACTATTAAATCACTTTGGGATCTATTCCAGATTTATGCATCTCACTTAATTTTGTATGTCTCAAATCATGGTATTAAATTTTTGATAAAAATTACTTATAATCTGTATTTTCATCTCTAATTACTTTTAACAAAAGAATTGCATGCTTATCTCAACTATTTTTGAAATGATTTTGATTTTATTATTAAATTTAAAGGTTTTATTGAATTTCACATTTTTTAATATATAATGTAAAATTCAAATAATGATTGGAAAGCAGTGTATTTTCAATAAACATCAAATAAAGAAGAATTCTGCTTAATTTGTAAAAAAATTTGTATCTCTTAAGAGATGAATTAGATTGAAATTTGGAAAAATCATTTGATTTCGGAAGAACACCTTTAAATAATTTACAATTAGTTATTAACAATAAATGTGTTAAATGAAGAGATATAAAAAAATATATAAGAATGCATAAATTAAATTTATGTATTTGATTATTCATTGGCAAAGAATCTTTATTAAAAGGGAAATTCATAGTGTAATTTATTTCTTTAAAAAAGTAAATAATTATTTTGAGGGATTGATATTTAAATTGCCAAAAATTTTAAATAAGGAAACACATTCAAAAACTAATTACTGCAACATTCTAAAGAGATTTTATAATTATTTATTTGAAAGTGGAAAGGATTGGTATAAAGAAAGTGATTTATTAACATTTTAAACTCTGAATAATATAAATAAAAAAGCTTATAAGCAATTAGATTATTACATGAATCAATGGGTAGGCATATTTACTTATATAGGCAAATAAATGAGTTTAAAATCGAAATTAAAAATTAAAAACAAAATGCTGAAGTAGAAAGATTTAGAATAAATTAATTCTGAAGAATTTTTATATAATTGCGAAAAGCTAATATCAATTTTGATTGAGAATAATTAATTAAGACATGCTTTGCTCTTATATTTACTATTTGAGTGTGACCTTGAAATTTATGAAATTCAGTATCTAAAATTTGATGCCATTAAATAAAGAAAGTTTAACCTAAATTATGAAAAACAGGGATCCAAAATTTCGAAAAAAGTCGAAGTGTCTGAGCAAATTCAAATCTTATGTCTGGCAATAATGAAGAAATATGATCTTTAAGAATAATCTCAAATCTTATATTTGAATTCTAACCGAGATGTTTAAACAATGTTAGAATGTTTAAAAAAAACCTATTTATCAAAAATTGAATAAGAAAACAATTAGAATTTTATTGTTTTCTTGAAGAAATTTAAGCTTTCAGATATTAAGAAGTACAAAAAAGTTACTCGATTAGAATCCTAAAGTAATATACTTAATTAAAAAGGTATGATATCAAATCAAACTAATTCTATGAATTGATCAGTTTATACTTGAGATTTGAAATTGAAATTAATAAATATGGATTTATAAATTAAAATACTATCCAAAGTTAATTATAACCCCCAGCTTTAAAAAAGAGTAAATCTTAGCTAGATTTGATTCGAATATAAAACATTTAGAAACTAGAACAGTCAACTGCCTTGGTCCTAATGATTGAGGATGAATAAATTTTAGTGAAATAAAATCTAAATGAGTAAATAGTTTTTATTATTAAAAAGAAATAACACTCAAATTGTAAGGTAAGAGAACAAATTTCTAGATAGGCCAGAAACAGAAATAAAAGATATCGAAATATTTACAGAGAATATTATATGAGGCAGTTATTAAAAAAAATGTTTCATATTTATTTTAGAAAGTGTTAAAAAAATTATAATTTAACATCACACTTCTAAATAAATAATTATTTATATGATAATCATAGTAAATTCTTTCATTCATTTATTCTAAATATTAGTTACTTTTTCTTCGATTTATACTATATCCTTATTACATTCATCTATTTATGATTTTTTTCTCTTCGTTTTTTAGAGTAAAGCTTATTTTTTTATTATTTATCTCTGCTTCTCAAGTTCAATCTACTTCTCTTTGGATATTCTAAAGAATCTCCTCACATTCGACTTCTTATCCATCGACAAATCTAATTCTTTAATTTTTCTTTACAATAAATAAATATATAAATTTACGCAATTTGTTCATTTGTAAATTTTTTCATATCAAATTTACCTATCTCTGTTTCAGTTTTAAATATAAAGTGATCTGGTTTCAAAGTTTTTAAGACATTAACAATCCATTCTTTATTTGGTGTATGTTTTAAATCAATTCCCCATTTTTATCCATTCATCTAAATTTTTAGAAGCTCGTCGATTAGTTCAAGTTTCTTAATTGGTTTAAGGAGAACTCCAATATTGATTTCTTCTACTTGTGGAACATAATAAGATTCAAATAGTACACCTAATAAATATTCAGATGTAATTATTGAAGAATTCAATTTTGGTAAATATTTTCCCTATAATACTAATCCATAATAAGCTGATTCTAATGAAGGGATAAATTGATTGGCTTGTTATCTTGAAAGAGCAACAAATTCTTCTTCTTAAATTTAGTTCATACTATTTTTGATTTAATAAAAAATAATAATGAAGGTACCTAAACAAAAGAGAAATTTAAATAAAATTTCATTTTAGCGAAGACGACTATGAACTTTATAATAGAAAATTTTTTTGAACAAAATCTATTAATTTTTATTATTAAAATTTATGATTTAGAAGTCTGATGATTCCGATTCTGATTATTCTCCAAAAAAACCCTTTCTTTATAAATAAAAAGCATTAAAAAGTAAAATTGGTAAATACTATAAAGGTAATAAAATTGAAAATCGGGAGACTTTTTATGAATGTTAACCATTATTAACAAAACATTAAGTTTGTGATAGTACTTGTTTAACCTTTAAAAAATAAATATATCAGAATTAACACATTAGGAATAGAATCAAAAAAATAGAGCCATTGCCCTTGTATAATTGCCAAATATATTTATAAAATATCTTGAACTCTAGAGCACATAAAAAGTTAGTATAAAAAAAATAAAAGAAACCAAGCAATTGGAAAAAAAATGTAATTCTAAGATGTTAGAATTTAAATTAAACTTAGAGAATGTAAATAGAATAACTTTAAGCATAAGGATATAGAAATTGTATTATTGCAGCCTTATTAGGGGTTTCTCCTCAATAGGTTAGAAGAAATTAATTCAATATAAACCTCAATCAATCTAGGGAACAGATTTAGCTAACAAATATTGAAAAAACTTGGCTCAAATTTTAAGCTTAACAATAATCGAATTCTGTATTATTTAATGCGTTTTCTTTCAGAAACGCTTTTCTTAATAAATTTCCAGATTAAACTCTTAGCATACAATAATTTAGAAAGATTCTTCATTAATAATAAATAAGATATCGAACTCCCTCTCTAAAACCTTTAACTTTTTTTTAAAAAGAAGGAAAAAATGAAGAAACAGTTTAATTCATCTCTACTTTATGTGGATACTTGAATGAAAATTACAGCATTATTTTCATTGATGAATGCTCTCTTGGGAATATCTCAAAATACACTCATAAATAGTGGCATGTTTTAGGATCTTTTAAGCAAACAACTCACAGAATTTCAACTTTTAAGTATTTGATTAGCGCTTTAGGAACTAAGGGTTTCTTGTATTTTCAATTATTTGAAGGAACTGGGAAAGCATATATATTTTAGGATTTTGTAACTTCAATTGTTTACAAAGCTTAAGAGTTTTATAAATCCTAAAAATTTGTTTTCGTAATGGATAATTGTAGTATCCATAAATCCTCCTAAATGAAAAAAATTTTTGTTTAGACGCACTGCATATTCACTCCAGCTTATCGACCAGAATTCAATGCTATTGAACATATGTTTGGTTGGATTTCAAGAAGATTAGTTATTTCTCAACCTAACATAACAACTTAATATATTTACTAGATTCATAGAATTATGAATGATATTGATGATAAAATGATTGATGAATGGTGTTGCAGCATTTTCAAACCTCTACTTAGGGAAATTAAGTTTATAGAATGATCTAATCAAGATAATATTAATCAAAAAATTAATTATTTTTTTCTTATTTTATTTTAGATCTTATAATTTAGAAAATTAGCATGTAGTAAATATTTTCTCAAGATTCGCACTGCAATTAAGAAGCCAATTAATAAAATTTTGCAGAAGAATTTATAAATGCTTTCGATATAAGTGTGTTTTGCAAAAATTGCAATACCTAAATGACTACTTGTGATATGAAGTTGTTGTTTAGCCATTATTTGCAATGTGAGATAAATTAGTAGTATCAAGATGATAAATGTGACGATTCAAACTTAAATAATATTAAATAATATTTTTAAGGAAATAAGATAAAAGATAAAGAGCAAATTGAAAATACTCGGACATAATTGGACATAAATTAGTTACGAGAATAAATTTTGATTAAATCTGAATTAGGTTAAAGCAGTAAAGAATAATATTAATCAACAATAAATGAGTACTTAATAAAAGAGAGAATATAATCTATGAGTGAAATTACAAATATATCGCTTATGAAATTTTTATAATAGGAGAAAGCAAGTTTATAAAGAATAAATGCAATTTCGTAAATTAGGAAAATTTTAAATCTACCTCAAACACATTAAATCTGTCTGCAATATTAAGTATTAAGAAAATAAGCAAAATCATAATAAACAAAACATCCCCATTAACCTTGGAATCTTTGTTTTATTTAGAAAGTATAAATAACGTTTAACAAGTTTTTAGATGACTTGTGCAGAAATTAAAAAGAAATATTAGCATATCGTATCTATATACTCTATGAGTTAGCAGCAAGAATATCTGAACTTAAACAAATTACATTTTAAATGATATTAACTGGACAAGTTACATATTTACCAAATAAGCAACGCAAATAAGGACCTAAAGCAATAAGAAATTTCATAATTTCTGAGGAGGTGATTATGCAAACATAAATTTTTATGAATAGAAATAAAATAAATATAGCAAATACCCTCAATATAGGGTACTAGAATTAAACAAATAAAATCAAAATCATTTCAAAAATAGTTGAGATAAGCATGCAATTCTTTGTTAAAAGTAATTAGAGATGAAAATACAGATTATAAGTAATTTTTATCAAAAATTTAATACCATGATTTGAGACATACAAAATTAAGTGAGATGCATAAATCTGAAATAGATCCCAAAGTGATTTAATAGTTTGTAAAACACTCAAATATAAAAATAACAGAAATGTATTTGAGGAATATTGAGTTGGATTCCATTATTGATTTAAATAGCGGATGCGTTAAGAAAAACGAAGTTGGTTATAAATCCATGATCATGAGATTGAATTACATGTGATAATTACAAATATGTATTCTTTTTATTAAAAGTAATGCTGATGAATGACAAGATAATTTGATGAATTCATCTGATTTTGCTCAACATCTAATTTTTCTTTGACAGATTGGGTAATTCTTTTTAGTATTTAATAAGTCTTTTGAAGTTGAGCATCGTTGGATATAAATTTATAAGTTAAACAGCACGTAGCTGTTATTAGTAAATATTTATAAAAAATTTTATACTATAATATAATTTATCAGAAGAGGAGATAAAATATGCCTATTTTATCTCCCTAATATAAAAAATTTATATTGGTGATTTTCTAGGTTAGGAAATTCACTAATATAAATTTAAATATATTAGTGAATATCCAGATTAGGAAATTCACTAATATAATATTCTTGTAAAGCATTGGTAAATTTCCTTAAGTGGATATTCACTAATATATCTGTGAAATTCCACTCATGGATATTCACCATTTCACTTTTCCAAAAAAGAAGAATAATTTTTTTGATTTTAATTATATA